CATCTATTGGCAAGTTTTCCTGTCCAGGTTCTTTCCAGCGCTGCATCGTAGAGAAGGACCATGTCTCCTACACTCACCCTCTCCTTCCTGATTCGCACGTTCTTATCCCATCTCTCTTTACCCTTGTCCCTTTCTGCCGCCAGACGATAAGCTGCGGTCATGAGGTTATCTTCCAACCCGTAGGCTATCTGTCTTGTTCGAGCAGCTAAGAGTTCCTCTCTGGACATCTCCTCTGCCCAGTCGACGGTTGTCCAACTGTCGACGTGAAACTGTATGGGAAGCGGACAATGTCGCCCAAACCACAAGGTGTACGGCGGGTATCCGGTACTAGCCCGGACCGTGACGTTGTCCGCCCATATTGCGTATCGAAAATATCGTGGCCAATCACTGTCCTTACCCTTGCACCACTTGGACAGTGACGCTATCAGAGTCTGGTGTCCCCTCTCTACTGGCTGTCTCTTATACACATCTAGATGTGTATAAGAGACAGCTACTGGGGAGTTCGACTGTGGGTGATAGGCGGTGGCTATTGAAACTCTCGCGCCGGCTCTCCTAAACACGCTCTGGACCTCGTTGGCTAGGAATTCCGCCCCTCTATCCATCACTATCTTGCTGACACAACCATACCTAGATAAGTATTCTAGGACAAAGTTCTTTACTTCCTTTGCTGCTTTACTCCTGATAGGTCTACCGTCCACGAATCCAGTGAAATCGTCTCGTATGTTCACGACGTAGTTCATATTGCCTACCCCTTTCGGCATTTTCACTAGATCGATGTGTACCTTCTCTCCTGGTCGGGTTAGATAGGATGGATGAAGCGGCTCTTTGTATTTCACAAGAGCTCTCTTCTGACATTCTTCGCAGGTCCTACAATACCTCTCGACGTCCTTATACTGTCCTTCCCACYAGTACAACCTGCGTACCTTTTCGTAGGTTCCTTTGATTCCTCTGTGTCCTCCGACTACCCCGTCGTGAAGTTCCGCAACTATTGTCTGTCTCTCCTCAGGGTCACAGACTACTCGTAAGGGCAGAGGAAGAACCAGCGGTCGATTACATTTGGCCACCTTCTATCCACCTTCTATCGTGCACAGCGGCCGATTGCATCTGGCCACCTTCTATCGTGCAATGCACTCGCTTTCCATCTTTGTAGTACTGCCACACGGACGTAAACGCCCATGCATCTTGCCACCTTTTGTTGGAGGATGCACCCGCCCACGTTACAGCACGTGCCACGTGCATTGTGCGATGCACTCCCCGCCATTACGGCACGTGCCACGTGCAAACTTCCATGCCATGTTCCTCACTCCTCCCACCTCCACCACCATGTCCACTGCCGCCTCCTTTCCTCTCGGCTCCCCCACCATTTGCTTCACCCCGATGCAATTTTTTCTTTTTTTTTTGTGAACGATTTTTCCTCTTTTGTTTGAACAACCCCGACGCAATTTTGATTTCAATCCGAACGACGCGAATTCCCAANACCCCGACGCAATTTTGATTTCAATCCGAACGACGCGAATTCCCAACCCACCAATTCCCATCCCACGAAAATGCTACCCATCCCATCCCACTAAAACCCCGCCCGCCCCAAAACAACCCCAAACCCACCAAAAAACGAAGGTCGGCAGAAGATGCATTCGTTCTCTTTCCTCTTCGACAAAGGTGTGGCGAAGCCCTAACTCCTCCCGGAAAAAACAATGACTGCATCTTCCCACACAGAAGGGAAAGATGCATCCGTTACTACGACAGCACAGCAAATTCGAGTCCTTCTCGCTCCTCCCACCTCCTTCACCTACGCCTCCACGTGAATACAGCCTCCGCCATGAATGACACGTGTCCTCCCACCTCCCACCTCCCACCTCCACCACCTACGCGTCCACTGCCATTGCCATGTCGTGCTGCCGCCTTTCCTCCCGCCCTCTCGACGTTCAGATTCGAATCGAATACGAATACGATACGAACACCCCGGTTGCCGCCAGCATTCTGCTGTGCACACCTCCAAACCCACTTCCGCTCGCCCTTCCAAAAATCCGAATTTCGCATCCTGCGCGATATCGCCCGAAATGGAAAAGAGGCAGCCGTCCATGAAAACGGCCCGCCGACCGCTTTTCGTGACCGTTGGTCTGCCCCCCTGCAACCGCACTCGCGACCACCCGGCCTACCGGTCTCTGCCCCGACAGCGACCGCACCCTTTGATTACCCCTGTTACCGCCCTATAAACCCCTTTCGCCGTCGTCGACATTTCCTGAAAAAGGCCTCCTCGCTACCCGCCAAAAGATAGGATCAAACCAGATACCACCAAACCTCTAACCATACCTTACTCACAACGATGACACCAATGAATGAATGAACAACGATTCATTCATGAACGATCTTATAAGCTTCAAATCGACAGTCGTAAACGATCATACAGGCTTCAGGCACGTGAGGACCCCTCACCACAAAAAACGCCATCAACACTCAACACATTTTCCATTTTCGGTTTTCCGTCCATCCATCGATAACGACGATGGAACCTGCTCTGCTAAAGCAAAAATGTCCACCCCACGTACACCAATCCCATCATGCCCCCCCCACGTACACCCATCCCATCACACCCGACCTTCGAACTATCCTCATGCATCCCAATTGAACGTGCACCACGAACAGACGAATCTTCCCCTGCAACATGGAAAGGTGCATAGCCGAGAATGCCATTGTCCCCTCAGATCATCGCAAACCTCCCCACGTACACCCATCCCATCATGCCCCCCCCACGTACACCCATCCCATCACACCCGGCCTTCGAACTATCCTCGTGCATCCCAATTGAACGTGCACCACGAACAAACGAATCTTCCCCTGCAACATGGAAAGGTGCATGGCCGAGAATGCCATTGTCCCCTCAGATCATCGCAAACCTCCCATTTTGCACCAGAAACAGACGGCTCTTCCCCTGCAACATGGAAAGATGCATGGGCAAGAATTCCATTGTCCCCTCGTGTACTCGTATTATCGCAAACCTCCCATTCCCCCCCTTTTTTTTTTATTTATTGGCGAAAACACCTTCCCATCCCATCTTTGACCCCCCGCATCCTTCAAACCGACCATCCATCCTGTATCCTTCAAACCGACCATCCATCCTGTAACTTCAACTTCAAAAACTCGTATTCGCATCCTCGTCAACTTCCAAGTCTGATCCGACCATATGCACCCCTTCACTCCCGCCTTTTAGGAGTTTTAGGACTCCTGCCATGAATAGGAGTTTTAGGACTCCTGCCATGAACCTCTCCAGGCTCACAACAGCTCCCTGCGTCGCCCACATTGCTACCATGGACGACAAACAAATGAGGCCCCCTTCATCCTTGCACCGTACCCCAGTACCGTTGATGAATGGAGAGAACAGAGAGGAAGAACCAGCGGCCGATTACATCTGGCCACCTTCTATCCACCTTCTATCGTGCACAGCGGCCGACTGCATCTGGCCACCTTCTATCGTGCAATGCACTCGCTTTGCATCTTTGTAGTACTGCCACATGCACATAAACGCCCATGCATCTTGCCACCTTTTGTTGGAGGATGCACCCGCCCACGTTACAGCACGTGCCACGTGCATTGGTCGATGCACTCCCCGTCGTTACGGCTTGTGCCACGTGCAAACTTCCATGCCATGTTCCTCACTCCTCCCACCTCCACCACCATGTCCACTGCCGCCTCCTTTCCTCTCGGCTCCGCCACCATTTGCTTCACCCCGATGCAATTTTTTACTTTTTTTTTTTGTGAACGATTTTTCCTCTTTTTTTTGAACGACCCCGACGCAATTTTGATTTCAATCCGAACGACGCGAATTCCCAATCCACCAATTCCCATCCCACGAAAATGCTACCCATCCCATTCCACCAAAACCCCGCCCGCCCCAAAACAACCCCAAAACCATGAAAAAACGAAGGTCGGCAGAAGATGCATTCGTTCTCTTTCCTGTTCGACAAAGGTGTGGCGAAGCCCTAACTCCTCCCGGGAAAAACAACGACTGCATCTTCCCACACAGAAGGGAAAGATGCATCCGTTACTACGACAGCACAGCAACTTCGCGTCCTTCTCGCTCCTCCCACCTCCACCACCTACGCCTCCACGTGAACACAGCCTCCGCCATGAATGACTCGTGTCCTCCCACCTCCCACCTCCCACCTCCCACCTCCACCACCTACGCGTCCAGTGCCATTGCCATGTCGTGCTGCCTCCTTTCCTCCCGCCCTCTCGACGTTCGGATTCGAATCGAATACGAATACGATACGAACACCCCGACTGCCGCCAGCATTCTGCTGTGCACACCTCCAAACCCACTTCSGCCCGCCCTTCCGAAATTCCGAAATTCGCACCCTGTGCGATATCGCCCGAAGTGGAAAAGAGGCCGCCGTCCATGACAACGGCCCGCCGACCTGTTTTCGTAACCGCTGGTCTGCCCGCCTCCAACCGCACTCGCGACCACCCAGCCTACCGGTCTCTGGCCCGAAGGGACCGCACCTTTCTATTACCCGTGTTACCGCCCTATAAACCCCTTTCGCCGTCGTCGACATTTCCTGAAAAAGGCCTCCTCGCTACCCGACAAAATGCAACCGGGTATAGCACAGCCTCCGGGCTGCGAACTGCCGGACCTAAGCGTGCTACGGAACCTACCCTATGCAGCCTACCGGCACTACCGGGCCTCCCTGCCCAACGCGACCTACCCAAGCGGCCTCCTTGCCCATCCCGACCGACCCAAGCGGCCTCCCTGCCCAGCCCGGCCTACCCAAGCGGCCTATGTGCCCAGCGCGACCTGTCTGAAAGGCCCACCTGTGGTACTGGAGCCACCTGCCGTACATGACCTACACTTCGCGTCCCACCTGGCGATCTACTGACTCTCTCTCTCTCTCTCTCTCTCTCTCTCTCTCTCTCTCTCTCTCTGTGTCTGTGTGTGTGTCTCTGTCCGAACATCGGGTTTTGGTGCTGCCTGCTTCGTTGTTGGTGCTTGTGCTTGGAGATAGGTGCTGCGTGCTTCGTGCTTCGGGCTTGGAGCCACGTGCTACGTGTGCAAGTGCTACTAGCTACGTGGTAAGAATTGGTGGATCTCTCTCTCTCTCTCTCTCTCTCTCTCTCTCTCTCTCTCTCTCTCTCTCTCTCTCTCTCTCTCTCCGTGCTACGTGCTACAGGTTTCGTGCAACGTGCTAAGTGGTAGGTGCTAACGAATTTGCGCCGCGTGCCACGTGCTCTCTCTGTCTCTCTCTGTCTCTCGCTGTCTCTCGCTGTCTTTCTCTCTCGCGCCCCCCACCCCCGCCCCCCACCCCCGTCGCCCCCCCATCCAATGTGGATTAGTGCTTCGTCCTTTTGGTGCTATGTGGTACGTGCTTCATGCTTCGTGAATCTGAATTGGTGCTACTCAACGCGATGTGCTACCTGAATCTGAATTGGTTCTACGAATGATGCAACGTGCTTGGAGCTGCTTGCTACGTTCGGGTCCACTCTCTTCTTTCTCTCTCCTCTCCTCTCTCTCCCTTTCTCCCTCTCTCTCTCTCGCTCTCTCTCTCTCTCACACACACACACAGACACACACACAGAGTGTGACACACACACAGAGTGTGTCTCTCTCTCACACTGTGTGTGTGTGTGTGTGTGTGTGAGAGAGAGAGAGAGAGAGAGAGAGAGAGAGAGAGAGAGAGAGAGAGAGAGAGAGAGAGAGAGAGAGATGCAAGGGCTACCCTTTTTTTAAATGTTTTGCCTTGCATTCGTTTCTCCTTTTTTGCCTCTTTTTGCGCCCGAGATGGCAGCCACGATTTCCGAAGTCGACGCAACTTTTGTCCCAAGAGAATTCTATTGGTTCTTGTTCTCCTTTAGGGTCCAGCGCGCGTCGTTAATTTGTTTTTTTTTCCGTTTTTTCAAGGGTTTAGGTTTGCCTCCGTTGTGGTACGCAATATATATATAGAAGATTAAATAAATTGATTTTTTTCTTGTTTTTTTTCGCTTTTGCGTTCTGATATATTTGTGACGGTATATATACGCAAGAGGTTCTGAACAGGGGGAGTTATAAGGAAGAAGATAAAAAAATGAATTCATTTTTTCCTGTTTTTCTTTCTTTCTTTCTTTTTTTCTTTTTTTCGCTTTTGCGCTCTGATATTCTTGTGACAATATATATATATAGATATAGATATATATGTGTAGGAAGAGAGAGAGAGAGAGAGAGAGAGAGAGAGAGAGAGAGAGAGAGAGAGAGAGAGCTCCGGTGGGTTTACCTTAACCCTCGGCCCTCCCTCCTTGCCGCCTTTTTGGTGCCCGATCTAGAGAGTGCATTTCCTTTGTCTTATTTTTTCCAATTTACTTCAACGGCGCGTTCGCTTTTCGATGTGAATAAGGGCGCGCGCGCGCGCGAGAGAGAGAGAGAGAGAGAGAGCGAGAGAGCGAGAGCGAGAGAGCGAGCGAGCGAGCGAGCGAGCGAGCGAGAGAGAGAGAGAGAGAGAGAGAGAGAGAGAGAGAGAGAGAGAGAGAGAGAGAGAG